ACAGGATATCCTACAGGCTGATGCTCACACCTACAGATGCTTCCAGAGGATTATTAGTGAGTGGAGTTAGGGAGAGGTAAGGGGGATGGAGAAAGAGGAAAAGGGGAGGGGGGGTGAGCAAAGAAATTAAGGAGAAGGAGTGGAGGGGAGAGCGCAAAGAAAGGTAGGAAGAGGGTGGAAGGGAGGGGGGGGCAGGGAGAGAAGAATGTTTGTTGCAGTAGTTCATTACAGTTGTTCACCATCGTTATGGTGATGCGCTTGTCTTTATTCAAACAAAATCAAACCAAACATTGCGTTGATGTGCTTTGTCTTTGTTTTGGCAAAACAAAACCAAACTTTGAGTTTTCCCGTCCCCCCAGGCTGAGACAGAGGCGGAGCTGGAGAGCGTGTGTGGGGAGGTCGGCGCTCGCTTCGTCTACTCCTCTCTGACGGGCCAGGAGTTGGAGATGATGCCCGGAGGTCGCACCATGGCTGTCAGGTAGGTATGGGTCAGAGAGGACCCGTGGTGGTTTTTTTTTTTGGGGGGGGGGGGTTAAAAGGTAGATGTTTTTTATGCCCCCATCAACACAGTTTAGATCATTTAGGAGACCAGCTTCTTACCCTGCCTGTTACGGTCAAACAGTGCTGAGAGGGATACAATATCCCAGCAGAAAGACTGAGAAACTCTGTAAAAATGGTCTACCTACTCAGGAATTGAACTCTGGTCTCCTGCGTGCGACAGCGAAGCACTAAATTGCTACACCATAGATGTTTGGGGGAAAGGGGAGGGGTTGCTTCATATACTCCTCTCTGACAGGCCAGGGGGCCAGCACATGGAGATGAATTCTGGAGGTCGCACCATGGCTGTCAGGCAGGTCTATGCTTAGGAACTTCAGGAATCACAATAAAGATAATAATGAATCACACGTTTAGGCTTTAGAATTCATACAAATCCTATTGTAAGGAGCAACAGATTCTTTTATAAATATGATTCTATATATGTTGTTTCTCCCCCCACCTCTTCCCTCCTCCCTTTTCCTTCCTCCCCCTCTCCCTCCTCTCTTTCCTTTTTTCATCTTCTCCCTCTCCCTCCTCTCCTTCCCATCACTC